TCATCCAAACTCCTGCGCAACTTTCTCAAATTGAGCATTCTCCTACACCTCCTGCCCTTTCCACGACAATCTTCCGCCAGATTTCGATGGGAGAGAACACGGTGCCTCTATTCCCGTAAAAGAACGAGATTCGTATCCATCATTGTCGTACATTATTTTGGTAATTGAATCTTCATAGTTGATTTTCTTCCAATTGATGAAAAATTATGATCCATGTGAGATATGTATATATCTGAATATTCAATTAATTATGAACTAGTATAGGAGTTGCGTTCAATCGTTGCTCGTTTGAGAATTGAAAATTCAAAAACAGGGCTCATACGGGTCATGTTGGTTGTTCACTGGTGTTAATGTGTTACAGGGTAGTAGATGATAGATAAATAGGGCAGGGTAGATTGCTTTGAGCCTTTGCCTCTCTATGTAGATGCTTGCTAAGTGTAAAGGCAAACAGGCCTGCCTGTCAAAGCAAAAATTGATTTGCTTAGAGTGCCTACTATTTTAATTGGCCATTCTATGCCATCTTTTGAACTGATACATGGTTCATCACCTTATTCCACCCTAATGCAACCTGATTTGTTTGCATGTAAAAATCTTGTTTTGTTGCTCTTTGTTGCAATGAATATATTGCTTTTTGTTGCATCGTGTTGTATTTTGGTGTATTGTGTTGCATTTTGTTGCATCTTATTCCTTAATATAGAATTTGATGTTTGATGTTACTTCGATTTATATGTATAATGTGTTACTTATTTGAAATAAGAACGCAAACGTGTTATCTTGATTCTTGAAATTTTATTTCTGATATTATTTGACCCTGGCTCTTGCAACTGTCAACATGAATAAAATCAATCTTAATGAGATATCACATGATTCTGCCAGTGGCCTAGTGAGGAGGGTGTTGGACATGAGTGTGTTATTAGCAGAAGTAAAATAAATATGATGGTATAGTGATTCATTAATGTTGAAGCACATATATAGTTCAGGTCATGTTATTCAGTGATTAGGTGGAAGCACATATATAGTTCAGGTCATGTTATTCCTTGCGTGTGGATTAATGTTGAGAATGATTAGGAGCATTACAGATTCAATACTGGCTTAAAATTTTTTTAAAGTTGGTTACACTAAAAAAATGGAACAATAAATTTTTTGTGATGTAAATGAGGGGGGACACCATCTAGCTCCAGTCGGTTGTTCTGCATAAGAGTAAAGGCAAGCTGGGGGTACATATTAAGTTTTTCATGCTTGCACATCACTAGACAAAACGTTCCAAGTACACAAAGTGAAAAACAACTAGAATCTTATGGTCAAAGATGATTTTAAAAAAATATGTTCATGATATAATCAAAAACTTAGTAGCCACGGATTGCTATCATGTACAGCCTCTTTCAAAACTCTCTTTACACATGCAGGATCACTAGTACTTTTTTTTTAGCCCGGAAGGCAAACCACCCACCGGTGGGACAAATGCCGGGCATCATTTGCCGAACTTTATTAATAAAAAGAGAGGGGGACTAGACTAGAACCTCTCAACAGAGGCATGCATCTGAAAATACATGAAAATACTAAACAAAGTAAGATAATGAAAATTTTGGGGGGACTATGCCTGACCCAAAAATTAAAAATACATGAAATTAAAACAACAACTAAGCAGAAATCGAGCGGAACAAAAGAGGAAAGGGGAGCTCGAATTAGGAAACCCTAATGTTTGAGCAACCAACAAGATCCAGATGCAAAGCACCCCTGATGCGAATCGGGAGCTGGGATGTCTGAGAAGCGATGAACTGGGAACGAATAGTTATTTGGGCCAGAAGATGGGCGACTTCATTCGCTTGACGATAACAGTGGGTGAAGGAGAAGTTATGCTCAATGGCGAGACGTCGGATGGGATGAGAGAGGAATTCAAAAGGAGCTGGGGTGAGACCATTTCGGAGGAGTGAAATCGCTGCTAGAGAATCTGATTCAACTTCGGCATGTGAGAAACCCGGGTTAAGTAGCCAATGAACCGCCACATATATAGCCGATAGTTCAGCTTCAAGGATTGATTTAGCTTTGAGAGGGAAGGAACCTGCGAAGACCATCTGACCAGCAAGATCTCTAAGAATAACACCACCGGTGGAGGAGTTCGGTTTAAAGGATGCATCAATGTTAGCTTTGAAGGTATCCTTTGGCTTCTTCCAGTTCACCTTGAGAAAATTAGGTCTATGAATTTTTTTTATCTTCTGGGAGTATTCCTTCTTGAATAAGAAAATATGGAATATTCCCAAACTTGGGAAATTTCACTCCTGCTGCCCAATGATAAGTGTAATTCTTAATGGAATTCATTAGAACCCCTTGCTTAAAACTCACAGATGCTCTATCCCAAGTGTATGCTGTGTAAGTTTTCCATATGTGCCACATTATAATGCCTGGGAGGACATGTTTATAAATATCAATAACTGACTGTGAACCAGCCTCCAACCACCAAGAAAAGCATATTTGACGGTGAGAAACATCCCAGTTAGGGATGGAGATCATGAACAGCCCCATAAAGTGAAAAGCATATTTGCAGGATCACTAGTACTATTGATAAGAAGCTGTACAATTTGAGTGAATCCTCCTGCACATGCATCATGCAAGGAAATGACACCCTCTGCATCCTTGACATCCAAATATGCTTCCTTTTCTAGCAACAGCTGAACACATGGAAGTTGGCTATACAAACAGAAAAGATGCAGAGCTGTGTCTCCATCTTCTACTGGTTCATTAATGTTACTTAAGTTGGCTAGAGCATGGCGAAGGGAGTCTAGTTGACCGTGCTTGGCTGCAATGGCAACTTCGTGAAGGTGAGGGTAACTGTTAGCATTAAGTGGTTGTAACTCCATTTCTTCTCCGACGAATATATCTTCATCTTTGTCTTCACCTCCCAAGCCGTTAGGTCTCTTATAATTATAATAATTGTATGCTTCCAAGTGTCGTAGTGAATTGTTATAGACAGGTAGTACGCTAGTTATTTTATTGTCATATTTTATAGTAATTCAATTTTTATTGCAGAAGCATAAAAGGAAAAGAAGAACATGACGGTGGAGGATCAATGAGAAAAAGAAGATAAGAAAGCCGAATCTGAGGAACTATGTATTAATTAAGATGTATAAAAAAATATATGATAAGAAGCAAAGGAAGCAAAGTCAAATAACATACTCGATAAATGTAATTAAATTGAATTATAAATTTATTGTGATAGATTATATGTGTTGCTTTTTGTTGCATTATATTTGTTTCTTTTTGTTGCGTTTTGTTTTTTGTTGTTGCATTGTGTTTCCTGTTGTTGCATTGTATTGCATATGGTTAATGTTTATACTTGAATTTGATTTTAGTTGTTTATTTAGGTTCCTAATTATCTTTGCTACTTCTTTGAAATTAAAAAAATCATGTATTGATATATAATCACTTAAATTGATAAATTTTGATCTATGAATATTAACAATAAAACTTGATGAAACGATAAAAAACAAATATGCAAAATCTGCAACACAAATAAACATGAAGAAACACAAAGCAACAAAACGCAACAAAAAATAACAATAGAATGCTAATAAGAATTAATTTATAGCTTGTTAGAAAATTAATAAAAATCATACTGTGTGATATTTTCAAATGTTTTACGTTTTTTTACTATTTTAAAATTTTCTATTTGGTATTCGAATTTTGTGCTTTTCTCTCTGATTTTTTGGAATTATTACCTTTTCTGAAATTCTTAATACTTTTTACATTTTTTATTTTCTATTTTTTATTTTATTTTATGTTTTTTTTGTTTTGTTTTATTCTTCTTTTTTATTTTTATTTTTATTTTTTTTTGGTTTATATAATACGTACTCTTTCTTACACATTTTGATATTTTTTTGTATACTTTATTTTTCTTATAACTCTTTTTTTTGTACATTTTTTTTTATTTTCTTATTGTTTTTTTCTTTTTCTTCCTTTTCAGTTTTTAAATTTCCTTATACGTATTGTTTATTTTATTTTATTATTTCTGACTTTTCATTGTTTCAACATTTTTGTAATTTTTTTACATTTTTTCTAATTTTTATTTTCAATAAAATAAAATAAAATCAGTTTGTTTTGATGTTTTAGTATCGTAAGAAATAAAAAAAAGTTACTACGTACTATAGACTACAGCTTTCATTGTTTTTTTTAAGTTAGATATTTTTATGTTTTGTTTTGTTGTAAACATATTTATTTATACGAAGTAGTTATTTTCAGATTTTAAAATTTACGAATTTATATTTTTTCCAATGATCACAAATATTCCATATTTTACAAATTGTTTACGTTTGAACACTTTGCCTTGGTTAGTGGTTCCGCCAAAGTGATACTCCGTAGTATGTAGGATTACTGGATTAGTAAGTTAAAATATATGGATACGGTCTACGGGGGCAAGCAGCAAAGCGCGAGGCTAATTTTGAAAAGAAAACTTTGTGTTGTCTATTTTTGAAAACAAAAGTCAAAAGAGATAAAAGTGATAGTATTTTTGTTTTTCAGCCTACTTCTGAAAAAATCCCTTTATTTTTCCGTTCCAAATAAAAGGACAATTTTCAAAATATGAGTAAAGATCATGTAAAATTTTAAAACCGAAATACTACTTTTTCACTGGGAATGACTTATAGTCATCTCAAAATTTATTGTCATATTTTGATATTATTTCTATGTGGCTTTAAATATAACAATATACTGTGATAATAGACATTTTTTTTTTCAAATATGAAAATTGTTGGAGGCATTGGTCCTACCAAGGCATCCCTTCCATTTTATTATTGACTTGCACCCCATGTTTATTCACACTAAGCTATACCTATTAAGTTCTTCTATTTGTGGCCATTCATTGACTGTAGACTCTCCTACTTGGCCGGTCCCTTATTGTTGTCTGCTACAGCATGTCCTTTTAGCTTGGTGTTACCCGTGAGTTGTCAAGTGGCCAGCATCCTATTATTAGAAGCCTTAGCCTCTTCCTGTGAGTCTTAGCCTGCGTGAGATATTCTGAGAGTAGTGAGCAGTGGTCTACCCCTTTTCCTTCCTTTGTGTGAGAGTTGAGAGAGGTACTTAGTGGTTGGAGAGAAAACATGGTGAGGTGTTGTGGTCTAGCCTAGAGTGGTGTGTGTGAGTCTAGCTAAAAGGTTGGAGACCTGAGCCGGAAGACGAATAGATCCTCAACAGTGGTATCAGAGCTTGTGTTGTCGTCGCCGTCGATTTCGCCGGATTCCGCCTTCTAGAACGTCTCCACCGCCGTCCGCCGTAGTCCGCCGCCGTCCGCCGCCGTCCGCCGCCGTCCGACCACCTGCCCGTCGATTGGAGGTCACCACCAACTCTTAGCCGTCTGTCGAAGTTCCTGGAGGACGCCTGGAGGCTGTTCTCGACTCGGTCAGTCCGAAATTGCAAAGGGAGTCGCCAATTGCAGAAACCCTCGCCGGAAGGTTAAGCCCCGTCATCGCCGCCTGGAAGCTCGCCGCTGGTCGCCTGGGTGTTCGCCGGTCTCGTTCGTCGCTGGTTGCAGAAGGCAGAGGGACGACGCAACTAGTACTGTTCATACGACAAGGAAGACGAAGGACGAGACTTGAGCCGCTGGGTTGCTCTGTTCGTTGGAGGACCACTGTAGCTGGACGCAGGTTGAAACTTTTGGGGGTTTTTTGAACCTGGGCTTTGGGCTGTTGGACTGCTAGTGGGCTGGAGCTTTTGGACAGTTGGATTGCTATTGGGCTGCTACACTGCTGGACTGCTTGGACATGGAGCTGCTGCTGGGCCGGTGGGTTGCTGTTGGACTGCTGGAGCTGTTGCTGGGCTGTGGACCTGGAGCTGGAAGCAGTCAACCGCCGGTCAACCGCCGGTCAACCGCCGGTCAACGCCGATCAAAGTCAGTCAACTTCCAGAAAATCCCAATTTTTTTGAAATTGGGTGGGTAAGGTCGAAACGCCTTTCCTAGGGTTTCGCTCCGGTATATTGACTTTAAACCTTTTTATCGCTTTTGTAGTGATTTTATAGTCTTTTATTGTGTGGAAATCCTGTTTTAGGTTTATTGCTTTTAAAATTGATAGAATTGTTGTGTTGTTCTGTGCTGAAAATTTATTATTTATTTGTGCTTATACGGAAGAACAATGGGTTTAAAGTTGAGTTTGGTGCTCATTAATCCTCCCCGCGTGTTCGTGCTAGTTGCTCTGTATAGATGTAGCCTTATAAATATTTAAATTGTTTTCAGCGAAATTTACATTTTCTTTTGTTGCTTATTTTTCTTTGTGAAAATGTCTACTTATAATCAGTATGGTATGGCTTTTTAATGGAAAAATCTGATTTTAGCATTTGGAAGCAAAAAATTAAATGTATTTTAATACATCAAAAATGTTTTAAAGCAGTTGGCGAAACCTATTTAATTTCTGACATGGAAGATAAAAGGGATGAAATGAATGAAAATGCATGTTCTGTGATTTATTTGAACTTATCTGACTCTGTGGTTAGAAAAGTTGGAATTTTAGAGAGTGCTAAAATTCTGTGGGATAAAGTGAATGAACTGTATACAGAGACCTCTTTGCCCAACCGGATATTTTTACTTGAAAAGTTCTTCAAATTTAGACTAGATATGTCTATGGATATTGAAGAAAATCTAGATGTTTTTACCAAACTTATTTCGGATATTAAGTTGTGTGGTGATAAGCATATAGATGATTATACCCCCATTGCTCTTTTAAATGCTACTCCTGATTCCTTTAGTGATGTGAAATCTGCTATTAAGTATGGTAGAGATAATGTGACTCTTCACATTGTGGTAAATGGTCTTAAGAGTAAGGAATTAGATTTAAAACAGATGGGTGAGGGTAGAAAATCCGAGGAAGTTATGCATGTGAGGGGTAGAGAAAATAATATTAGACGACATAGATCTAAGTCTAGGTCTAATTCGAGGCGTTGCTATTATTGTCATGAACCTGGTCATTTCATAAAAGACTGTCCTAAATCTAGGAAAAATGAGCATAGTGAGCATGCTAATTTGACTGCGTGTGAAGATGATTTAGGTGATGTTTTTATGATGAGAAATCTCTGTGATTATGACTATTTGAGTTCTGTGATATCTGATTCTTTGGGTAAATCAGATTGGGTGGTAGATTCTGGTTGTAGTTTTCACATGTCCCCTTTGAAAAATGTTTTTTCAAACTATAGAGAGATTGAGCATGGCTTTGTGTCTTTAGAAAATGAGAAGAAATGCAATGTGCTAGGAATAGGAGATGTATGCCTTAGGTTCTCTTCTGGTTATGTGCTTACTTTGAAGAATGTTAGGCATGTTCCTGAGCTGTGTTGTAATTTGCTATCTTGTGCTTCTCTTGAAAATGAGGGTTTGAAAGGAAAATGGGGAAAGGGAATCATGAAAGTTGTGAAGGGTTGTTTAGTTGTTTTAAAAGTTGAGATGAAAAACAACTTCTATGTTTGTCACGCTGAACTCGTACTTGATTCTGTGAATTGTGTGCAACCCTGTGTGTTAGGAAAACAGTCTAGAGTTAGTTTTCCTGATCTGCCTAAGTGTACTGCTGTTCTTGATTGTATTCATGCTGATTTGTGTGGTCCTTATAGTGTTTCCACTCATGGTGGGAAAAATTATTTTCTTACGTTGATTGATGATTTTTCAAAGAAAGTATGAGTTTTGTTGATTGAGAAAAAATCTGAAGTTTTTGATAAGTTTAAAAACTGGAAAACCCTTGTTGAAAAACAAACCGGTAAGAAAATAATTTTTTTAAGGACCACTGTCAGTTTTGATTTCTGTGATGATCAGCTTGGTGATTTATGTGATACTTGGGGTATTTCTATGCATAAATTTGTTCCCTCCACACCCCAACCGGATGGGGTTGCTGAGAGGATGGTTAGAACTTTATTAGAGAGGGTGAGAGCTATGTTAGCTTCATCTGGCTCTCTAATAAGTTCTGGGGGAAGCTATTTGTTATGCTGTTGATTTGGTTAATCAGTCCCCGTCTGTTCCCTTAGGAGGGAAATGCCCTGAATCTGTGTTCACGGGCAAACCACTTAACTTGCCAAATTTGAGAATGTTTGGTTGCGCTGCTTATGTGAATCGTGTGAATGATAAATCTAAACCTAGGACTAAGGAATATGTTTTCTTAGGATATCATGAATGCATGAAAGGTTATAGGCTTTGGTGTAGGAGTGAAACTTGCTTCATTTTTGTTGAAAATGAATTTCCTTGCCTGCTTGTTTCTCCTGATGTTGCTCCAAATGAGGTGGATCATTTGCTTGATGTTCATTCTGATTTACTTGTTGAAACCGAACCCAAATTTGTGGATGAAAATGATTTTCATATTGAAAATAAAGAAAATATTGTTTCTATTAAGGTGGAGCATCATATGAATGTTATGTGCAATATGCGTGAGTTGCGTGATTGCTATGTTATTAGAGATAGAGGCATTAAGGAGCATGAGAGAAATAATATGTGCAATGTGTTTGACTATATTTCCTCTGAGTCTGCTTTAAATGTGCTTAATTCTCTTTTAATTAAATCCTTTGTGATGTTTGATATGTTATTTTCTTTGTGTTTTGAAAATGTGATACCAAATGATTATGTGAGCTCTGCCTGTGCTAGTTATAGAAATACTATTGTTTCTTTTATTTTCTGTGTACTTGCTTTGTGTGGTTGTTAGATTATTTGGAATCCCCAACTTCTCCCAGATGCTTGCTTGCGTGGTCTATTAACATGTGTTGTGCTTGTTAATAGTTTTGTGATGGTTTTGGTTCTGAACTTGAGGACCGATTGGTAGAGTTCAGTCCATCGTGAATTGGGTTTGCATGGTAAGCTTGGTCCGAAAGGGAACTTTGGTTCTCATCTATTACTTGTATGATCGCAACGATGTACTTGTAATGGTCCGGCGATGATGAGTCTTCTCACAACTTTGTATTGCTACTCTACACCACTAAGGACCAATAAGGTGGAGAATGTTGGAGGTATTGGTCCTACCAAGGCCTCCCTTCCATTTTAGTATTGACTTGCACCTCATGTTTACTCCCACTAAGGTATACCTATTCAGTTCTTCTATTTGTGGCCATTCATTGACTGTAGACTCTCTTACTTGGCCGGTCCCTTATTGTTGTCTGCTACAGCCTGTCCTTTTGGCTTGGTGTTACCCGTGAGTTGTCAAGTGGCCAACATCCTATTATTAGAAGCCTTAGCCTCTTCCTGTGAGTCTTAGCCTGCGTGAGATATTCTGAGAGTAGTGAGCAGTGCTCTACCCCTTCTCCTTCCTTTGTGTGAGAGTTGAGAGAGGTACTTAGTGTTTGGAGAGAAAACATGGTGAGGTGTTGTGGTCTAGCCTAGAGTGGTGTGTGTGAGTCTAGCTAAAAGGTTGGAAACCTGAGCTGGAAGACGAATCGATCCTCAACAACAATAGTTGGTTCTATTTGGTCACGAATAAAAACACAATTCCTTCAATTATCTCGAGTCGGATTTTTAGTAACACGAGTTAAATTTTTGCACACTTTGATTTACACTAATTTTTTATTGTCTATACTAGCTAGATTCATAATTCGTGTTTACAATTGAAGCTACCTTAGACTTGAGATTACATTTCTAGGAATACAAGTTACATTTTCATACACGCAATTTACATTGCATATTGCGAGTGAAGAGAATAACAGCTCAAGGAAAATGGTGAGAGCAAGGATCCCAATAAAAGACCTATAAATACATTTCATTTTCACCATTTTCCCTACAACTCTCCAAAATCTAAATACATCTCATCTTCATAATCTATATTATCTCAGTCTGTCAATTATAATATCATATTCTTCATTATTCATGAAACCGTCATCCAATATCCACCTTGCATTTTTAATGCACTACACATTCAATAACAACATGTCAAATTTTATATTCTGCACAATGTCTTCATTTACGAAACGTTTTGTGCTTGAGAAAACAAGAAAGCAGTTATGATATGCTAGTAGACATTTCCATACAAAGCACTCATCACTCATTCAAGCGAATAATGAATAAATATTGTGTTCATTGTGTAATCATTTGAAATTTGCCGTTTGTTGTTAGCTCTTACATTTTACCTTTGAAATTAAAAAATATAGCGTTGTGGTGTATGGGGAACATTTACTACTTAAATTCGACTTATATAATCTAATAAATAGATTATTTCGTAAATAATGTATATATTTTTCGGGTATTAGCCTTAAATGGGACTAAAAGTAACGCAAAATTCCACGTTAGGACTATACTTCTTTTATTTCCAAAATAAGAGTAATATATGTCTCTTCCTATAATCTCTAATAGATTTATTTGTTAATAACAAAAATCACAGTTTTATTTATAATACATACATAAAGAATCGTAATTTTTTTATAAATTAATAAAAAAATCAGGAAAAAATAAATTAAATTAAAATTAAAAAATAAAAAATAAATATGAAAAAATATTTTAAAAACTTTAAAAATTTAAAATAAATAAAATACCTAAAAACATATTAAAAATTATGTGGACCACTACCTCTGCATCCCCGCACCTCCCAACACCACCACCACCTCCGATCATTGAAAAAATGTCACCTTGTGTAAAAATGCCACATTTCTCTACATTTCTCTGAAAATGCCATGAAGATGACATTATTACTCTTTGGAAATATCCAGCTTTCTTTTCAGAATTGTCATCATGATGACATTTTTTCCCAATTTGAATTGGCAATCATTTCCAGTGACCGGAGGTGGCGGTGCTGGAAGCTGGCTGAGGTGGTGGTTGAGGTCTATATATTATTTATTTATTTATTATGATTTTTATTTTTTTATTTTAATTTTTTTATGTTTTAAAATGATTATTTAAAAAATCCTATTAGGAAGGACAAGTGAAAGGGTAGAATAGGAAGAGTTAGTCTTATTTTGAGAATTTAAACATTGAACTCCTATTGTTGCAATTATCCTTTCATTTAGTCTTATTTAGGGAAATCTCCCTATATTTTTTTAACATTCATATTTTTAATTGAAAAATATTACCTGGACGGATCTTGACTTGTCGATCGACCAGAACCAGCCTGGAATTGGAATCCCCTGGTACCAGTCTTGGTTCCCACCTTTACCCAACCCAGGACTGGCCAGTCCGGGACATGAACCGATCGGAACCGGACCGGGTATATCCCTAATCCTAAATACTCCTATGTTTTTGGAAGTGTATATGTCCACGTTATGTTAATGTATCTCTTGAAAATCTTATGGATAATAATAAAATATAAATTAGTGACTGCCGCTCATTCTATGCACATAAGACCTCTACAAACCTAAAATATTAAAGTGCAACATTGATAATGTCATACAAAGTGTTAATATCACGGATATGTGCGCCCATGATTAAATCACATTCCATGATTATAAATTTATAATACTAGTATTAGTTATGGTGTCATTGAATCTTGGCCGGATGCTTGAAATTGTCTAGTTAGTTCCGATCTGCAATGAATATATAGTGCAATGCATTATGCATAACGTTAAATCTATGAGAATTCTAAGATGAATCTCATTTACCTGATCCAACTTTTGGACCAATTGTCTTATATGATGCCACCATGTTTAGTGTTTACCTAATGATTTGTAATGATATACCCCAATATTATTGATAACACTGATCCACAGTCCACTTCATTTAGAAAATTCAGTGAACTAAATACTTTTGAGACTAAAAAGGTGATATGTTGGTGAAGATAGGAGTGATATTATGATTTGGTTCTACAATATAATCTATATATTTGCAAATTAAAGTGTGGACTTCTAGCTAGTTCTAGGTTCCGCATAAAAACCATCGAATTTAGGATGAATTTGGATATCTATTTAATGGCGAATGGTCTGTAACTTGGTATGGATTAGATATCAAAAACCATGTTTCTAGATCAAATTTATGCCTTACACTAGGTTTGTACTTGCTAATAAACCTGGCATAATGGATATTTTACCCACCTTCAACACAAATACTCTTTCATAAAACTCTGCTTTTATTTTCGCGGATCTCAGTGTTACAATGACATACGATCAGTCATAAATGATCATCGTATCCATTATTATTAATTTATTATTATATGTGTTGATACATACACAAGGTAGTCTAGGAAAATTGATGACGGGAGGTGTTTAAACTAACAACGGCTAGCTAAGCAGAGACATTCAATTACCAGCAAGCAAATCCAGAGAAAAGCCAAGTTCACTCATCTTCCATTCATGTTCTTCTCTTTGTTTTTTACTTTGTTCTGCTCTTTACTGCCAATGGTACTATTATCAGCATCATAATCATCACCATAGAGACAAGGCATTCTTCGTTTGGTACTACCCTCAGGGGAACCATGAAGAGAACCACCTTTAACAGCAGTAGAAACTGAAGGAGTTAGTTCTAGTTGGTTTGGATCTTCATCTGAGCAAAAGGTTGATGGAAGTATAATTATTAAAAGAATGAAAACCATGCAAGAAAATTTAGAGGAAGCCATTTTTTCTTTTCAAGTTTAACTTAGTGCCAGACTTTGTAGATGGATAATGAAACAGAGTCAAAGAGGAAATTTATATAGAGGGATGTTCTAAGATGAATGCACGCATGACGTGATGGGGTGCTCTTGATTGCCATGGTCAAGTGCTTCCAACACCAATGCACTATGCATGAGTGGTATAATCATTCATTTTTATGGGCACAATACAGGGGACCTCTCGTTTGATGTTGCAATTAGGCACATGAAACTTTCATGCATGGAGGTAGAAAGCATGCCTAATTTTAAACCTTGATGGCTTGACCCATGAAATTTTGGCCTCTGAGTCCTTTGGAGAAGCCAATAACATTTTTTGAGCATAATGTGCTTTTTGTCTCTTTGGGTGTTTCGTCTCTTTGATTTAGGAGCTACCTCAATTGAGTACTTGGTTGCAAGTGATTGATAATCTATATGTGTACTAACTTCCTCTCATTGATAGCAAGGTTCCAAAAATTGCTAAACACTCCAAGTTTATGTTCTTGTGTGTGTATATGTGTATGGAAAATCTTCCTATCAAGCCTTTAGCCTTCCAAGTGGCATCGGTTCGGAATGCATATAATTTAAAAAGTTCACGTACCCTGCCTGAGTGATAGTCTAGCCCGCCCATGTCATCATCCTAATTACTGCGCATCAGTGAAATGTTTTCAATGACCGAGTCTTAACAATCTGAGTATAAAATAATACAAAATACTACTTTATAAAGCTTTCGGCTTCTTTTAAGCTACACTTTTCACCAAAAGAACTTAAAATTCCCATAACAACCTTAGTATTAGGCTTGTGACCTTCACTCTCCTTCAAAGACAAGGCAACGTTCATACACTCAATTGCCCTCTCCAACCCACCTTTATCCAAGTAGCCTTCCACGACTCTTATCCATATACTTGGCGATACTATTTTTGAATTCTTTACTCTTTAAATCTTTAAGCATGTTCTCCGCTTTTGCAAACAACTCCTTGTCAATATATCCACTAATAATTGTGCATGACACTCGTACATCATCACAGTTTCCAGAGCTCTCCCACTCTATAAGAAGTTTCTCTGCTTCTTCAAGTTCGTCAAGTTTAACCAAAGATTTCAACATCGTTATATAATCTTGATTAACAAGTTTCTTACAATTGCTCTTTGCAACCTCCCATAATCTAAAGACATGTGATTTGTTTCCCAGCTTAGAGTGTAATGAGATAAGAAAATTATAAATGCCTCGACTTTTCACATCCATCTTCTCTTCTGCTTTTGCAAGCATGAAATTTGCTTCAATAGGTAACCCTGATTTGATGTAGCTATTTGCTATGGTAGCATATGTATTCCAGTCCATGATTAGATGCATTTAGTTTTCCAATTCATTCAGAACCTTTTCCATCCCATCAATATCTGACAGTTCTCCATATGAATTGATATAGGTTCTGTAACTCTGATTATCAGGGCACACACCATTTTTCTTCATAAGATCAAGCACTTTAGACACTTTTTCATGCTCACCAATTCTTGTGTAAAGCCCCATTATGTCATTGTAAGCAACTGAGGTTAAGTTAAGACCTTTCTCCTTCAATTTCTGTAAATGGAGTAATGCCTTGTCAACTTGGAGCTGACGAGCATAACAATGTAATAAAGCACCATAAGTCTTTTCATTCTTATCTTCTTCGCTCAAGTCATTGAAATACTCTTCGGCAGGGACTATCCCTTAAACCTTACCAACAAGATCCAAACACATTGCATGTTCGGTTGCAGAGAATCTTACTGCAACATTCTTCTTTAACTAGTTCAAAACCTGCTAAAAGAAATGCATATTACTACAAATGCTAACAACAAAATATGTTTTGATTAATACTAAAGTTCAAAGAATTATATACTTTTCCTGTTTTCCATATTAGCCAATATATTATAGTCCCTTCTGTTCACAACTAGTGTCGTTTTGGATTAAATTTTTGCTTCAAATATGTGTCCTACAAATTTTCGTATCTTCCTTTGCAATCGCTCCTTATTTCTATGCTTCTCAGGTCCTTCTACGCTTTGGCTCCCCCGATGTCTCCTCTGGGCTGACCGAGTTTCCATCCTTTAAGGAGCTAGTTCTTGTACCTGTATTTTCCTTCCAGTCCTGTTTATCGGTGTCCTGCCTATCCGATAATCCCACCATAGTGCTGGAAGACCCTTCCACCATCCATTTTGTACCTCCTGTCGGGTTATTCTTCGCCCTAGACCCAGCTCTAAGTTCGACCCCATAATTTTTTTCAAAAGTGATATTCTCCACCTCATAAACTGTTAGGTCCCTGTTTTCTAGTCTATAAAATGTATGTATGGAAGATAGATCTGGGAATGAAGCTTTCCATTGATGTGATGAAGAAGTTTACAGAATGATATGAAACTTAAGCGTAAAACTTCTATCACGAGAATAGGCACTGCGGCACTAGGAATATCGAAAAGCTTAACCTAGCCTTTCCCTTAAGGCATATATATAGCCTGACGGGAAAGGTAGGTTTTACAATCATTTGGGCTCCTTTTTCTAGGAGGCCCATACCTAAAAAGGTATAAAACCTTTTATTACACATTGCCTTAAAAGGCCTATTCATTATTCTAGCTAGTCTATTTAATTAAGATGCTAAATATAAATAGCTAAGAAACATTGATCACAATATAATGAAAATATCTCTAACAATCTCCCCCTTTGTGATCAGATGTTCTTGCTTCTTCTTTTCTTCACTTCTGAGCTTTAAAATAATGCTGTCTAAGATTGAGTGCATGCTCGTAGTTTCTGAGTGACCTTCTTCTGTCAAGTTGTTTTTCGATAGCTTTCAAGATTTTATTGACTCTTTCCAATTCTTTGAATTCTTCCTTCGAGGCTTCATTCTGTCTTTTATCTAGCTCTTCTTTCCTTGGCTGGAGCTGTTCTCGGATGATTTGCAGGGTCCCATCACAGTATTTTTGAATGTCTTCAACAATCATCAGACGCTTCTCTTCTTTGTGATTCAGATAGATGACTGAGATGGGCTTGTCAAATGTATAATATGCTGTAAAGGTTTCAAGCCCAGGTCTATCCAAGTCCGGTCGTGTAAGATTCGCCTTTGAATAATTGTGCTCTAGAGTCATCTGGAGATCATGGGAGGCGTAGAACCGAACTTGTCTTGTCATGAATCTCTTTATGGCCTCAAAACCTTCTCTAGCAAGTCTGTCTTTGTGCACTGGGAGCTCCCTGCATCTCATGAACATTTGATAAATATCATCCATGTGCAGTAGGAAGAAATCATTTTCTTGACAGGTGAACTCCGAGCCATCGGTACGTCGTAGACGAAAGATCAGGAACTTAATCGTTTCTAAGTAGTCTTCTGTGATATCCAGGATTTTCGATATAGGACATCCACTTGTTGCAAGATTATGATTTAGAACTTGTCTTCGTTCCCCTGTGGATCTGTGTCCTAGCATATACAGGTTACCTCCTCGGTATTTTCCTTTCAAGTGATTGATTCCTCGCATCTTTAATTCACTGAACTTCTTGATTTTTTCAGGTTGTCTCCAGATTTTCTCTCGGATTTCTTCTAGGAAGGGGGCTTTGATTCTAACAATTTCCCATTTTTCTTTGACTGGTTCTGGTGCCTTGGGATTTTCTTTATGATTCTCCCCTTCCTTGAGTT